TATTTATTTTATCTTTAAAGAAACACTATAAGGTAGATGATAATATCCTCATTTTATAAACAAGTAAACCAAAGGCCTGAGAGGTTAATATCATCAAGTTTACAAAATGAATAAGCTAAGTTAGAACTAGAACCTTGTTTTGATTTCAGAAGGTACTTGAGGTTTGTCTTTGGTACCTTCCAGCTTCTTGGTATACTTTTCCTGTTGTTCCAGTACATTGTAGTATAGTGGTTAGGTAGTAGACTTTAGAGGTCGGCCATGCCATCTTGGGTGAGACTTGGGGAACAGTTACTTTTCTAAGTCAAAGCTTCCTATCTGAGAAATGGGACTAATACTATCCCCAGTTCCTGTTGTTACAAAGTCTTCCGAGTGAAATTTCATAGATTACCACAGTGTCTAGTACTTAGAAAGCTTTAAATAAATGTTAGCTTCTGATATTTTCAGATGCCTATGACTTTATTCAGTACTCTGGCTACTTAAAACCCTCTAATTCAGTTTCTCATAAAGACCTGCACTCTTTTCTGGAGCTTTATTTTTAAAATTTGCCTTTTTTTTTCACCCCGTCAAAACTTGGGTTCTGATTTTGGCTCCTTCCTCACTTTATCAGTTTTTGGATTATCTCATGGCCTCAGCTATTTGCATGGCGGTGATTGCCAAAACGGTATTTTTATCTCAGACTTTAGATCAGAGCAGAAGATCCATGTGCCCGGTTGCCTTCCAGATCTGCTCTACCACGTAGGATAGCCACTAACCACAAGTGGCTGTTGTGTTCTTAAACTTTGGTTTATCTGAGTTGCGATGTACTATAACTACAAAACATATACCAGATTTTGAAGACTTCAGGAAGAAAAAAAGAATGTACAATATTTTTTTCTTCCTTTTTTTTTTGGGAGAGGTTTTTGCTATAGGATGCGTGCGCTCGCCAGAAAGACAGAGACAGAGAGAAAAAAAGCGAGAAATCACCCTCCAGGGGGGGATGACCATGCCGCATTCCCTTCTCTTTAATTCTCCTCTCGGGATCTTGTGCACGCATGCACACACACCCGTCGTGAATTTAAGCCACTGGGTTCAGGACTTGAACTGCGGTTGGCTATATGGGAGTTCAGTGACATAGCCATTATGCTAACTGCTGGTCCCAAGAATGTAGAATATTTTAAATTTCTGGTTTAAAAAATATTATTACATGTGGAAATGATTATATTTTTGATGTATTGTGTTGCATAACTTATTAAAATTAACTTCCAACAGTTTTTCTTTTTAAAAAAATGTGACTACTGGAAAATTACTTATGTAGCTTGCATTAGTGCTTTTTATAAATATATACACCTGTATATTTCTCCAAGGCCTTGAAAACACCCAATTTAAAACTGTTTACTCTCTCCATTCCTCTTTTTTTCTTTTTTCTTTTTTTTGGAGAGGTTTTCACTATAGGGCGTGTGCGCTCGCCAGACAGAGAGAGACATAGAGACAGAAAGCGAGAAATCACCCCCCAGGGGGGATGGTCACGCCTCAATCCCTTCTCCTCCATTCTCCTCTTGGGATCTTGGGCACGCATGCACACTCGCCCGGCGTGGGTTTTAGGCCACCAGGTCCAGGACGTGAACCATGGTCGACTACATGGGAGTCCAGCGACATAGCCATTACGCTAACTGCTGGTTCCCGTTTTGGTTATTTAATTTTTTTTAGTTTTTTTTTTGTCACCTGTTAGCCCTTTCTTTCTACTTTTTAGGTATCTTTCATATTCAAGTACTTTTCTCCATTGCCATCATTGTAACCTTGGTCAGTCTATTCGCCTATGGCCAGATTTTTGTTCCATTTACCCCTCTTCTACTGCAGGTCATAGATATTAGAATTTGGGGCAGGCCCTCTAGCCTAGTGGTTAAGGGAACTGGGTCCCACATGGTTGACTATAGTTTACATTCTGGCCCTGAAAAACATGCTGGGTATGTGTGCCCCAAGTCCTGATGGGATGGGGAGATCGAAGAAAGTATTGTGGCATTACCACATCTCTCTCCCTGTCTCTTACCTCTTTCTGGTAAGCATATGTGCCCTCTGGCAATTAACAAAAAGAAAGTAGAATTCTTCCCCATCTTTCTTTTTGGAAAAATAATTGTCTTATTTATTTAATTTTATTTGTTGTTATTATTATTTTTAATTTGACCAGAGAGAGAAAGGGAAAGTGAGGAAGCAAGCCACCAAGTCTGGGACACACCATGGTCAGCCATGTGGGAGTCTACTGTCCCAACCACCATGCCACCTGACCCCGTCACTGCATTTTCTTATGTGATTTCATGTTTTTTTATTTTGTTTTATGTTTCCCCTCTGAGCTTTATGAAAAGACATTTTGAAGTAATGGAGCTGGTATATGAGAGATACCTGTTCTTACAAGTAGAGATAAAAAATAGTTTTTTGAGAGTTTTTGCTATAGGGCACGTGCACTCACCCAGAGAGACAGAATGCGAGAAATCACTCCCCAGGGAGATTGGCCATGCTGTAATCCCATCACTAGTCTCATCTCAGGATTTTGGGTATGCATGCAAATGTGCTCGGTGTGAGTTTCAAGTCCCTGGGTCCAGGATTCAAACCATGGTCAACCACAGGGGGACCACAGTCCAGTGCCTTAACCAATATCCCACCTGATGGCCCCTGAGATGAAAATATTTAATCAAAGCAGCTCAGAAAGCAGATTCCAACAGTTGTTCCCAATGTTTAATGAATATTTTCACAATGTTACTGTGTACTCACCACTGGTTTCCTACTGCCTTGATTCATTTCCTTCTTTGCTCTCAAAGTCCCAACAGTGCTGGCATATATTAAATACTGTGTGTTATCCCATTATAAATTGATACTATTGGTTCTGTTGGCTTAACTAATACCTATTGGTTACACTTTTTAAAATGCAAATATTTGCTTCATTTGTATTAATTTTATTGTATAGTGGGATTCCAGCTTAATATTTTTTAATGGCTAACCAGTGTCTTAACTATTTACTGAAGAGTCAATTTTTTTTATCACATTTGGTGAAAAAATGTTACTGTTATAATTTATCAAATTCCATATAACTCCCCCTGCCCCCCATGCCCCCCATGTTCTATTTGGTTCATCTTTTTACTTTTTTTCTTTTTTTTTTTTGAGAGGTTTTTGCTATAGGGTGCATGCGCTCGTCAGAGAGACAGAGAGACAGAGAAGACAGGGAGAAATCACCCCCCAGGGAGGATGGCCACACCACAATCCCTTCTCCTCCATTCTCCTCTCGGGATCTTGGGCACACACACCCACACGTCCGGTGTGAGTTTAAGCCACCAGGTCTGGGACTCAAACCACAATCGACTACATGGGAGTCCAGCGACATAGCCATTACACTAACTGCTGGTCCCATATTCTGTTAATCTTTTTGACTGTTAATGTGCTGGTATGATTTTTGTTTTAAATAATTATTTATTTTATTATTATTTTAAAGTTTGCTATAGGACACATGTGTTCACCAAAGAGAGATGAGACAGAGAGAGTCCAGGAATTGAACCATAGTCGGCCATGTGGGTGGGAATCCAGTGCCTTAACCACCATGCCACCTGCTGCTCTCCCCCCATTTGGTTTTATTTATTGTTTCTCTACAGTATATTTTGATATTGGATAGTGCTAATTGTCCCATTATATTTTTTTTAGAATTTTTTGGGGTTATTATTATTGGTGTGCATGCATGTATGTGTGTATATGAACTGTAAAGTCAGCTTGTCTAATTTTATCCCCCAAAAACATTGGTATTTTTATTCATTTAAGTTTATGAATTAATTTAGGGAGGACTGACACCTGTATAATAATTTTTTTATATCCAGTAATATGGTCTGAATGTTCTTCTCTTTGAGTCTCTGTGTCTTAAAATAATATTTTCTCATTTGTTATACTGAGATCATAGATGTTAAAATTATCTCTAGATAGTTTAACCTTTTTGTTGTTTATATTGTCAGTGAATCACCTTTTTCACAATCTTTTAATTTGACCATTATAATTTGTCAGGCTATAATTTCTTGCTTTGATTATTGGGAAAGTTTTACAGGTTAAGTATTCTTTATCTGAATGCTTGGGACCAAAAATGCTTAGGATTTTGATTTTTTTTCAGAGTTTGGAATATTTGCATGTATATAATAAGGTATTTTGTGGAAGAGCCTCAAGTCTAAAGATGAAATTCATCTATGTTTTATATATACCTTATATAGGTAGCCTGAGGGTAGTTAAAAAAAAAAACAGCTAAAGAACACACGTGCTCACCTGAGAGAGAGACAGAGAGAGGGCAAGGAGACAGCACCCCCAATGAGGCTAGTCACATCAAAGTCTCTTCTCTTTTATTCCATTTTATTGGGATTTTGGCACCCACATGCACCCAGCATGTTTTTCAAGCTGGTAGGGCTGGGATTTGAACTGCAGTTGGTCATGTGGGAACTGGCTCCCTTTACCATTAGGCCACAGTGCTGACCCTATACAGTATTTTTTATTGCAGCATTTTGACTGTTACCCATCACATGAGGTTAAGTATAGAATTTTCCACCTGTATCCCCATGTTTATATTCAAAAAGTTATTTATTTATTTATTTATTTATTTATTTATTTATTTTTAATTTGCTAAAGTGTTCATGCACTTGCTGGAGAGACAGTAAAAAAGTGAGAAAGCGCACCCCATCATAGGGATGGTCACGCTGCAATCCTTCTCTTCCATTCTTCTCTCGGAATTTGCGGATATGCATGCACATACTCCCACATGTTTTTCAAGTCCCTGGGTCTGGAACTCAAAATGTACAGTTGGCCATGTGGGATCCAGCTGCCTTAACCACCATGCTATTGGCTGGCCCAGACTTTTAATTTTTTATACTTTGAATAATCTTACTGGGTATATGTCTTTAGTCTGAATGATTTCTTCAGTCATAGCTGCACACACAAATTCAATGATTGAATTAATAAATTTAAACAAAATATCTTGATTTCACAAATTGTGTTTTTTATAGTGAGGATGAGGATGATGACCTTCAGTATGCTGATCACGATTATGAAGTACCACAACAAAAAGGATTGAAGAAACTCTGGAACAGAGTAAAATGGACAAGAGATGAGGTATCTGAAAAGGTTTACTAACTTAATACTTGTATTTATTGATTTACTATTGTACTTAGAAAGATTTTTTTTTTTTTTTTTGGTCGTAGGATGAGTGTGCTCACTAGAAAGAAAGACAGAGAGAGAGAAAGTGAGAAATTATTCCCCAGAAGGGTAGCCACGCTTCAACCCCTTTCCCTCCATTCGCCTCTTGGAATTTGGGGCACACACTCACATGTGCCCAATGTGAGTTTCAAGCTGATTGAGACTCAACCTCGGCTGGCCATGTAGAGTCCAATGCCTTAACTGCCACACCACTTGCTGGCCCCAACTTACAAAAATATTTTAAAATAAAATGGAAGGAAAGCTATTTACCCTCCCACCTGAATATTCTTTTTCTTTTCTTTAGACATGAATAATAGGTTAATTTTAGAGCTAAAAGAAGCATCATGGTATTAGGTTGTCCGGAAAGTCATGAGTGTTTTTCTGTTTTTCTATGCAAAAATGCATCATGACTTTCCCAATGACCCAATAAATTGGGGGGGGGGCGAACTTCTATTACAGTGGCTTCAGTCCTAAACATCGTCACCAGATACTACTTGTCAGAACTGGAGCGTTATCTATATTCAGAGGTAGAGGAAAAGATGAGGGAAAGCTTTGTAATGTTTATACCTGTTTTCATAGGATGATAAATTAAAGAAGTTGGTTGGACAACATGGAACTGATGACTGGACTCTAATTGCTAGTCATCTTCAAGTAAGTGATTTTTTTTTTATATTTCTGACATAACTGATTTAGACTATTGGGTTGAATTCACTTTTTCAAAAATATATATACATATTTTATAGGTTTCCTTCCTAAAACATCTCTGTTTTTATAGTCTGCTTATAGTTGTTTGCTAATGGTGTAGACATTCTGATTTTCTATTAATGCTTTTATCCAGGGGTCTAAAAAGATAGCTAATCTAGAATAAAGATATTAAGTTTGCATAGACAGAAATTAGATATACTGAAATATTTTGATAGCTAACAACAAAATCAGGAAAAACTGTTTAAAAAAAGTTTGTCATCTAATGCTTACTTTTTAAGTGTTAATTGCCTTTTAAAAATTTATGCTTACTGGGGCCAGCAGTTAGTGTAATGGCTATGTGGCTGGACTCCCATGTAGTCGACTGCAGTTCAAGTCCTGGACCCGGTGGCTTAAACTCACACCAGGCGTGTGTGCATGCGTGCATGCCCGCGTGCATGCCCATGATCCCGAGAGGAGAATGGAGGAGAAGGGATTGCAGCGTGGCCATCCCCCCTGGGTGGTGATTTCCCGCTTTCTGTCTCTGTCTTTCTGGCGAGCACATGCGTCCTATAGCAAAAAACCTCTCCAAAAAACCCCAACAAACTTAGGCTTACTGTTCACATACTGTTAGTATGTAATTATTTATAAATTTTCATATATACCCTTTCTGTTCCTTTATACAGTGTGCATAGTTAGGCAAAATATTCATATTTGAATTTTAATATTTACTACATTGCGTTTCTAAAACCATGTTACCTATGTTTGTTTATATTGTTACAATGCCTCTCAACTTAATCTGAAAATTGAGACCAAAATAATTGAAAGAATGTAAGCTTTTACATTTGAAACTCTTAAGTACAGATACTTAAAGGCACAGTCAAATGGTGAATTCCTGAGTTGGCTCAGTAGCCATGGGAGGCTTTATTATTATTTTTTTTTAACTTTCTTTATTTATTTAAAAATTTTTAAAAAATGATTTAAGTTTTTATTTATTAAATCATTTATTTTAATTTGACCAGAGAGAGACATACACAGAGAGAGGGAAAGTGAGAAAGCAAGCCACCAGGTCCAGGACTCGAACCATAGTCCACCATATCCAGCACCTTAACCATCATGCCACCTGCTGGTCTGTTATTTTTTTAGTTTTAAAGTTTGACAAGAGAGGGACAGAGTGAGTGAGTAAGTGAGAGAGAGAGAGAGAGAGGGAGAGAGAGAGAAAGTGAGAAAGTAAGCCACCAGGTCTGGGAGTGAAGCCACGTTCGTTTGACCATGTGGGAGTCCAGCACCTTAGTCACCACGCCACCTGCTGGTCCCTTGGGATGCTTTTTAAAGAGTCTGATCTGAAGTTCCTTATAAAAGATTCCAGCAAAGCCAACTAAATCAATTAGTATTCTTATGAGGCAAATAACAGACCAAATTGAGACTAAACTTATTTTTTTGCAAATAAGTTAGTTTATGACTCTCTTTAGTAAAAGGGAGAATGGAGAGAGAAAAAAAAAGTAAGAAAATTGGAGTGCACTAGTTACTAGATTTTACTTTGTCCATATCTATCCTTTTTAGTTTTTAGGACCTAACTACTCTTTGAGCAGAATCCTAATCTTTTTCCTGGCTTTAAGCCTTAATCAAACTTTTGTTAACATTTTAAAATTTTGATTTATTAAAACTAAAGCTACAGGGGAACCAGCAATTAGCGTAATGGCTATGTCGCTGGACTCCCACGTAGTCGACCGCAGTTCGTGTCCCGGACCCGGTGGCTTAAAACTCACGCCGGGCGCGTGTGCGTGCGTGCCCAAGATCCCGAGAGGAGAATGGAGGAGAAGGGATTGAGG